AACAGTTTTAAGAAATTAAGAGTTTTCAAAGAATATTTGCAGTAGGAAATGTTCTAAATTGGGAACTTGTTTTTTAGAGACAGAGTCTTACTCTGTTGTCCAGGCTGGAGTGCAGTGACACAATCATAGCTTACTACATCCTAGACCTCCTGGGCTCGGGTGATCCTCCCACCTCACCCACTCAAGTATCTGGGACTATAGGTGGGCACCACTATCCTGGCTAATTTTTAAAAATTTTTATAGAGACAGGGTCTCACTATGTTGCCCAGGCTGGTCCTGTACTCCTGGCCTCAAGCAATCCTCCCACCTCGGCCTCCCAAAGTACTGGGATTATAGGTGTGAACCACTGTGCTTGGCCAGTTGTTAATGTTTTTACCTTAAAGTGCACTGTACAAAAATATGAAAATACAGGCCAGGTGTGGTAGCTTATATCTGTAATCCTAGCACTTTAGGAGATTGAGGTGGGAGGATGGCTTGAAGACCTTCAACACCAGCCTGGAAAACATAGTGAGATATCGTTTCTACAAAAAAATTTTAAAATACACACACACAAAAATATTAGCCAGTCTTGGTGGTGCCCAACTGTAGTCCCAGCTATTCAGGAGGCTGAGGCAGGAGGATGGCTTGAGCCCAGGAGTTTGAGGCTGCAGTGAGCTAGGATTGTGCCACTGCACTCCAACCTGGACGACAGAGCAAGATCCTGTCTCAAAAAAAAAAAGAGAAAGAAAGAAAGAAAGGAAGGAAGGAAGGAAGGAAGGAAGGAAGGGAGAGAAAAAGAAAAATACTGATAAATGATAAAACAAAGTCACTTATAAAGTAACTACAGATAATGTTTGTTAACTGACTGCTATATTTATATATAGTCTTCTAACGTACTTTCCATATACACAAAAACTATATCCCTTTTTAAAAGGTGATGATTTCTAAGTGCAGTTTACTTTTTTTTTTTTTGAGACGGAGTCTTGCTCTGTCACCCAGGCTGGAGTGCAGTGGCCGGATCTCAGCTCACTGCAAGCTCCTCCTCTCGGGTTCACGCCATTCTCCTGCCTCAGCCTCCCGAGTAGCTGGGACTACAGGCGCCAGCCACTTCGCCCGGCTAGTTTTTTGTATTTTTTAGTAGAGACGGGGTTTCACCATATTAGCCAGGATGGTCTCGATCTGCCGACCTCATGATCCGCCCGTCTCGGCCTCCCAAAGTGCTGGGATTACAGACTTGAGCCACCGCGCCCGGCCTAGTGCAGTTTACTTAACGTAGGTAATAAATAACTTTTTCTGTCATTAAATTTGCATTATCCTATCAGTTTCAATGGCTACAGTGTATTCTATTTCGCGGTCTTACCATAATTCATTCGGCTATCCTCTTGCATCACACATTTAGTATATTTCCAATTGTTCATTCTCCAACAAAGCTGTGAATTGCTGGCCAAAAGGGAATCAGTATTCTAAGGGCTTTTGATTCAGGATGCCAAATTCCTTCCAGAAAGAGTTACCTAGGCTAAAAACGTGAGGCAACCAGCAGGGAGATTCATAAAATATATAGTGTGTAAGTGTTGGAAGCCTGAGAGCCATGAGGGCCCCAAACCCCCTAAAAGGCTGCAAAGTGAGTCAGGGAGGAGCCACAGCCTCCCAAGCCCAGAAGGTCAGGCTGCAGACAGACCCCAAGCTCTGGGTCTCTCTGGGAAAGGTGGCTCCACTTACCTGTGCACAGGCCTTCGGGGGCTCTGGGGGCTTCTCATCCTGCTCTGCCATGCTCTCCTCCAGGCACAGCAGGGTGCTGACGTCTTGAGCTGCACTAAGAGAAGCCCCAAGTACAGCATTTAGATGCAGGTCTGCCAGAACTGCTGGGCCCCCACCCCCATTAGTCCCTGCTCCCAGGATGCAGGATGCATTCCCATAGCAAATGCACTTCTGGAGGTTCCTGCCGGCTTCCTGCCCAAATACCCGTGTATGTACTGAGAGTCCCTCAGTCCCTCTCCCGGGCCAAGTTTCTGCAGCTCCAACCTGGTTCCTCCACTATCTTGGGCCCCTGGACCATCTACCTGTAAGCCCAGCTTATGCCCAACATGGCCTTCTGCCCACCACCAAAGTCTGCAGCACCAGTCCGTCCCTCTCCTATCCCACTGGGCCCTGGGATCCCCACAAATATCAGGCATATCGAGGACCCCCTGGTATTCACCCCATCCTACCCCTACCAACCTCAATCTACAGCCCCAAACCAGCACTTCTTCCTAGGGCCAGAATCACACTCACTGCATGAAGCTGGTGACACAGCTCCACTGACTGCTCCCAGGAACTGATTCAACAACTAAGACTGATCCTACCCTTCCTAAATCAGCCAGGCCTGTCCCTCCAGCAACCCAGCGCAGAGGGCCACCCACTTCCTGCTCAAACAGCCAAGTGTATATGCACAGAGCTCAGCTGTACTCACATCCTGTTCCCTCCACACTTCTGGGGTCCACTGGCTCCTACTCCAACAGCGCCAGCCAGATTCCTACCCCAACACCCTCCCAGGCCCTGAATTTGCAGCTCTAAACCAGTCCCTCCACCAACTTGGGTATACTCAGGCCTGAAACTGTAACAAGGCCTGCATAGGACTGGGGGCCTCCAACAGACACCAGCACAAGTCAGACAAAAGCAGCCCTACCTGCTACCTACAGCTCTAAATCCATGTCTCAGAAGCTCAGGTGTCTCTGTACCAACTAGGTGTTTTGGGATCCAAGGCTAGAGCAGCCCCTGGCAAATCCTACCCCAGGCAACCCATCCCCTGCACCCCATCTCTCCTACTTACTCTCTCTCCTGCTCCCACCATATTCTCACAGGGCATAGTGTAGGTTCACAATGGAGCTGTTTCCTGAACTTGCACCCAAACTGTTTCCTCCGCCTTACTCCACAGCCCCCTGCTTGAGCCACACCTGCCCAGACTCTGGCCAAACACCTTTCGGGGCACCTGTGGCTCAGGAAGATCCTGTCTTTCCACCAACCTGGGCACCATCAGGCTGTGATCAGGGTTCCAATCACGCAAAGACCCCAGCACCCTCTGTCTAAAACTCATCTCCGGCCTCCTGTTTTCCAACCAAACACCTGTGTGTGTGCACAAGGGGTGCCTGACACAGTCCCGCCCCTCTGCAGCTGCTTCCTCCACACACCTGGGCATCCTCAGGCAGAACCAGGGTCCTAGGACTGCCCATGCCTCCCCAATCTGCCCAAATGCCAGCACATGTGCAGAGTGCTGCTGGAGCAGCCCCTTGTCTCCTAAGACCAGAGCCAAACTGGAGCCCCCAGACCTCTATTCAGCAGCCACTGCACACGGGCCACCCACCTAGGCTCCCTCCTCCTACTGACACAGCCACAGAGCAGGCTCATGCTCACAATCTGCATCCAGGACCTGGCTCCTCTGCCAGTCTGGGGGCACACCCTGTTCCTGAGACAAGAAGCTACATCCCTCACCCTGTGTCTCAACCTGCCTGGGACATCTAAGGCACCCACAGCCTCTGTGTGGGTTCGGGGGTCACCTGCCCCACTATTTGCCTGCAGCCAGAACACTACAACAACTAAACAGTAGCTTGAGCATACAGCTCCACAGTCAGCCCCGGGACTTGGGTACTCGCCAGCGTAGGGGTTCTCAAGCCCATGATACAGCAGCTCAATAGGAACTAGGCCCTTTGGCCTTCTCTTGCCCAAACACGAGGGCCTGGGTATCATGCGGTCAGCTCTTCCCAGCACCAAATCTGCAGCACAGACTCTGTCCCTCTACTAACCTGCACATTCTCATGCCTGCAAGTAGCATAGCCCAAGTAAAGGTCTCAGCAACACCTGCTTCATAACGATGCTGGCAGCATACTGCTTCCTCCCCAGCTACCAATTTGATGGCAGCTGTTGCAGCTCTGTCCTTCCTGGACTCAAATTCTGTATCTCCAACCCGGAGTCTCTGCCCATCTTGAATGCCCTAGAGCTCTGCACTATCCTACATAGGTCCCTACTATCCGTTCCAGTTTCTGTTTTCCATTCAGACACCCCCAGGACGTGCAGGGTGCCCTCTGCCCACAACCTGTTTCTAGGCCCTGATACCCTCCTTCAGCCTGCAACTCCAACCTGGTCTCTCCACCAACCACAGCGCCCCCCAGACCTTGGAGAGGCGCGCTGTCTGCACCAGGGGCCCAGGGGCCCAGGGTCACCTGCTCGGAATCTTACCTACCACCTCTTGCTTCCTACCCAAATACTTGCTCAAGAATAAAGGGACAGTGGCACAGCCCTTCTTCTTCAGAAACCACAATCTGCAATGGAGTACTCCATCAACCCGGACATCCCCAGGCCTCCACTAAATATGCCCGGCATTGGAGGAGGGGAGTTCTCAAGATGTCCCCTTACATCAATTCATGTGCCCTGTGTTCCAGCCACCTGGGCATCCTCAGGCCCCAGACAAGAGCACCACCTGACCAAGCACCTGCGCATGCACGCAGAGGACAGTCGCAGAATACACAGCTGCCTCGGTAACTCCATCAATCCCGGTGACCCCAGGCTAACGCGCCACCCGCACAGATACCAGGTCTCCCCGCTACACTCACCACCTCTTCCAGCTTCCCGCCTAGACTCTGCGCATGCGCGCATCGGACACCAAGAGCTGCCCCACGCCCCACCAACCTGGGCGTCCGCTGGCCCGCAGCCCAGGCTGGGCCTGTCACCGCCTCAGTGCCTGGCACGGCTCTGCGGCAGGACGAACTCGGGTTAAGCAACCCCCTGCCCCGATTCTGCCACACGGTCGACTCGGGTTAAGCTAGTTCGGTCCCCTCCCCTAGTCAGCATCCGCAAGGTCGCTGGGGGTTAACTCTGAAGGGCTGAGCTGCTCGGCGACAGCAACCGTCCGCGCGCGGGACAATGGCTGCGCTTGTGGCCGAACCCGGAAGTGCACTGAGGCTCGGCGAGCCAGAACTACAATTCCCAGAAGCCTCCGCGGCGCGGGCGGTGAGTGGGCGGGGTTCCGGCTCCTCCAAGGAAGTGGGGCGGTGGACCTGGTCAGAAGCTGAGCGGGCGTCGGCGTCCGGTGCCTGGAGGGGTGCTGCACCTGTGCTTGTGCAGGTAGGTCTAGGGGAGCCCTAAGACCAGACGCGGGACCGGGAGGCCGAAGCCAGTGCATCGACGCGTAGGGAGTCGCTCTGGCATGACTTCAGAACGAATAGAAAAGGCGGGGACCCTTCCTGGGTGCCCCTTCCTGTGAGACGCTGCGCGCGACCCACTGTCTCCTCTAGTCCTGGGGGAAACCTGTGAGACAGTTGCGACATCCCCATTTTACAGTGGAGGGAGCGTCTACCGAACCCTTCAGGAATCTATGTTTTTACATTTAATAATAGTAAAATATAAAGAATCATTTTATTTTTAAATTTTAAGTTCTTTGTCTGCCTATAAGGCCTGAATGATCAGTTCCCCCACCTCTCCCCTTTTCTCTGTTTGTTTGTTTTTGTTTTGTTTTTGTTTTGAGACGAAATTTCGCTCTTGTCGCCCAGGCTGGAGTGTAATAGCGAGATCTCGGCTCACAGCAACCTTCACCTCACGGATTCAAGCGATTCTCCTGCCTCAGCCTCCTGAGTAGCTGGGATTACAGGCGCCCAGCTAATTTTTGTATTTTTAGTAGAGACAGGTTTTCACCACGTTGGCCAGGTTGGTCTCCAACTCCTGACCTCAGGTGATCCGCCCGCCTCGGCCTCCCAAAGTGCTGGGATTACAGGCGTGAGCCACCGCGCCCGGCCCCCTTTTCTTTTTGCCCTCATTTCTTGCCCATTTGCTTTGCACATTTTCCCCATTCTCCAACAGATCCAGCAGACTGCAGCCCCCGGGCGTTTGCATGTGCTGTTTGCACTCCTTGGCAGCCTGTCCTGAGGGATTCCTTTGGTTCTCACCGTCTGCTCATTAGGGGAACATCATCTTCTCATTAGGGATTACCCCACTACCCGTTGTGAACTTGCAAGCAAACCCTTCCCTCCCCATATGCTCCCTGCCTCCTCCTTCATCTTTTATTTTTTTCTCTAAAGAACTTTTCACTATCTAGCACACTATATATTTTAAGTATTTATTTGGTCTACTGTCTGCCTTCACCACTACAATGTCAATTCCATAAGGAAAAGCATTTGTATCGATGTTGATCACTGCTGCATCACCAACACCTAAAAAAATAAAACAGAGAGACCTTGCACATGATAGATGCTCAATAAATATTTGTTGACTAAATAAAGCTTCCTGTCTCTGTATTAAACACTTTGATATCTCATTATCCAGCCCAATCACCCTATGAGGTAGTTGTGTTAATTTTCGTCCTACCAGGGAGGTGGCTGAAAATTGGAGCCCTGCTGTATGAAAATACATAATCTTAGTTTTTTAAAAATGCTTGCCAAAGCATTCCTGTAGTTTTCTTCACGTAAATTCTGACCTTTAACAATAACGAATTACTACTATTTGAAATGTAATCTATTCCCAAAGCTGTTTTGTTTTGTTTTGTTTTGTTTTTGAGACGGAGTCTCGCTCTGTCCCCCAGGCTGGAGTGCAGTGGCGTGATCTCGGCTCACTGCAAGCTCCGCCTCGCAGGTTCACACCATTCTCCTGCCTCAGCCTCCCCAGTAGCTGGGGCTACAGGCGCCCGCCACCACGTCCAGCTAATTTTTACTTTTTTATTTTATTTTATTTTTGTATTTTTAGTAGAGACGAGGTTTCACCGTGTTAGCCAGGATGGCCTCGATCTCCTGACCTTGTGATCCACCCGTCTCAGTCTCCCAAAGTGCTGTGATTACAGGCGTGAGCCACCGGCCCGGCGCCAAGTTTCTTATTATTAGTTATTGTGGTTGATCTTTTAAAAAATACTTATTTTGTATCTGGTTAACCTACTGCAATGTTATTAATTCTTATAATACTCCAGTTGTCTTGGCTTTTCTATTGAGACAGTTATCTACAATTTCATTTTTTCCTTACCAGTATTTTAAATTAGACTTTCTCTTTCATGTTGGATTATATTGGCTACCATTTCAAAACAGTATTACTAAAAGAGGCATTCTTTATTTTATTTTATTTTTTTTTTTGAGACGGAGTCTCGCTCTGTCGCCCGGGCTGGAGTGCAGTGGCCGGATCTCAGCTCACTGCAAGCTCCGCCTCCCGGGTTTACGCCATTCTCCTGCCTCAGCCTCCCAAGTAGCTGGGACTACAGGCGCCCGCCACCTCGCCCGGCTAGTTTTTTGTATTTTTTAGTAGAGACGGGGTTTCACCGTGTTAGCCAGGATGGTCTCGATCTCCTGACCTCGTGATCCGCCCGTCTCGGCCTCCCAAAGTGCTGGGATTACAGGCTTGAGCCACCGCGCCCGGCCTTAAAAGAGGCATTCTTGTTTGTGTTCTTTTAATGGGCATATCTCCGAGGTTTGAGGGTTAAATGTGACGTTGGTTTCTAAATTGAAGTAAGTAGCTTATTTTTTTAACCTTTTATTTTGTAAATTTCAAAACAAAAGTAGGGACTCAATGAATGACCCCCTATGACCTATGTCATCCAACTTAACTATTTTCACTCAGTCTTGTTTCATCTGTACTTCCACCTATATTGTGCTTTCCACTCTCTTCATCTCTCAGGGATTTTAAAGCAAATTCTACATATTATTTTATTTTGTCTGTGAAATGCTACATTTCAGCGTATGTCTAACGAGAACTGGTTTTAAAAAGAAAACTTCAATACAAAATAGATATATGTTATAACTACTGGGTACAAACAATACAAAATTATTTCCAGATGTTATTAGCAGAAGACCCAAAAGAGTTAACTAAAAGCAATTAACATCGAGGAGAGTTTAAAAGTAATTAAATGTGATACAAGTAATAATAAACATTTATGTTACACTCTATGCTAATAATAATAAACCTTTATGTGAAACTCGGTGCTAAGCAGTCTTGTAAGATCCATATTTTATATACAATATATTAAATATATAATATGTATTACATATATACATATATATTACATATAATACATATTATATATTTAATATATTATATATAGCGTATATTATTTTTTCTCATTTAGTCCTCACCACAACTCTTGTGAAATGAGACTGTTATTTACATTTTACAGAAGACAAAACTGAAGCCTAGAGATAAGTAACTTACCCTAGACTGTATTAGGATAGAGTTGGAATTTGAGACCAAGAAGTTGAACTCTAGAGTCCACACTCTTAACTTTTACATTATGTTGCCCCTTGTCTACACGTCAATATCTTTCCTCTACATGCAAGTAATACTAAGTTTGCAAACAAGACAGAAAAAGCAAAAAAAAAAAAAAAAAAAAAAAAAAAAAGCCTTATAAATAAATTTAGTAAGATAAATATAGGTCATCTGAAGAAACCCTCAAAACCTTACTGAAAGAGAAAATGGACACATAGAAATGCCGTGTTGCTAGCTGTGTTGTAAATATGTAAAATCTTGCAGATTGATCTGCAAATACAAATATGACAAAATCAGAATGGGATGCCTTGAGTGTTAGTTCATCTTCCTTTTTTCACTTCATTTATTTTTCTGCTAATTGTTTAAGATATTCAGAAAATAGGCCAGGCGCAGTGGCTCACACCTGTAATCCCAGTACTTTGGGAGGCTAAGGCGGACCAATCATGAGGTCAAGAGTTCGAGACCAGTCTGTCTAACATGGCGAAACCCTGTGTCTACTTTAAAAATACAAAAATTAGACAGGCATGGTGATGCATGCCTGTAATCCCAGCTACTCAGGAGTCTGAGGCAGAAGAATCGCTTGAACCCGGGAGGCAGAGGCTGCAATGAGCCGAGATTGTACCACTGCACTCTATCCTGGGCAACAGAGCGAGACTCTGTCTCAAAAAAAATTCAGAAAATAGAGCATTAGTACTATAAAATGTAAAACTGACTTTGTTTATCTGTCTTTTGTTTAGTCTTTTTTATTTTCTTTCAAAATGAACAAAGTGGTAGTGTTTACTTCCAGGAACCTATAAATCCTAACTTAACCTAATATTACAGGACTTTAGAAGAATTACCACTGCTGGGGGCAGTGGCTCATGACTGTAATCCCAGCACTTTGGGAAGCCGGAGCAGGAGGATCACTTGAGCCCAGGAGTTTGAGACCAGCCTGGGCAACATGGCAAAACCCCATCTCTACAAAAAATACAAAAATTAGCCAGGCCTGGTGGCACAAGTCTGTAGTCCCAGCTATTCAGGAGGCTGAGGTAGGAAGGATTGCTTGAGCCAAGGAGGCAGAGGTTGCAATGAACCAAGATCACGCTACTACACTCCAGCCTCAGTGACAGAGCCAGACCCTGTCTCAAAATAAATAAATAAATGAATAAAAAAAAAATTAAAAAAAAAAAAAGAGTTACCACTCAGGAACATTCTAGAAAGAATTCTAGAAAGATGCCCATCTAATCTAGAGATTTATCTATCAACTGTCTGGGGAAGAGCTGACACCAAAGTTCCATATTAAGGTTCTGTTTATTGGCCAGGAATTGGGTAAGGGCTCAACATACAGTGAAGAGCAAGAAAATTATGAATCCATTTACTATAAATAATAGAAGACAAAAGTAAGAGTCACTAGAGGGTAGAAGGGCATGATCTGTCTCTAGGATGTCGGGGGAGGGGGACATTTCTTGGCAGGGAAGAGGAAAGTTCCCAGCATTCAAATAGGGTGGTGTTTCTGGCACTACTGAGTGCAACCCTTAGGGTCCTAACTCTAGTCTCTTGTATCACATCTAATGATTAATTTTTAAAATCTGAATTAATGTTATCATCATCATGATAGCCATTCAGCTCCGAGGATAGCAACAACCCATTCTGAAAACTCTTTCTTCATTTCCAGGAGTTTTCAGTATTGGTTTCCCCCGTGTTAACAGTCCTTTTCTGTCTCCTTTGCTTGATGTCTCCTGTAAACATCAGAGGGACCCAGGAATCAGCTGTCAGCCTGTCCCTTGCCTTGTCTTCATCCACTCTGCTTGGGGTTGACATACAGGCCTATTGCTCAAACCCTGTAAGTTCCCAAGAAAAGTCCTGTTTTCCTGACTAGCCTTTGGGCAGCTCTGGGAACTGAGCTCTCATAATATCCTATCTGGTAAGAGTCCTTTTGTTTGCCTGAGGCCTCGAGCCGTGCTGTACCAGTTTGTCCAGATGGTTTATACTAACAGTGTGATTTATGGAGGAACATCTGGAGTCTGGAGCGTCAGTGACTGACCCTTTACAAAAAACCATGGACACCCAGGTTTAGGTGAGTTTCCCTCGATGTCAATGCTTCACACACGTCATCACACATCATTGCTGGGAGATTTCCCATGTGCTATGGTTTGGATATTTGTCTCCTCCAAAACTCATGTTGAAACTTAATCCCCAGTATGGCAATATTGAAAGATGGGGGCTTTTAAGAGGTGATTGGCTCACGAGGGCTTTGCCTTCATGAATGGATTAATCCATTCATGGACTAACGGATTAACGGGTTATCATGGGAGTGGAACTGGTAGCTTCATAAGAAAAGGAAGAGAAACCTGAGCTAACATGTTACCACACTCAGTCCCCTTGGCATGTGAACCCCTGCACCCCTTCAGGACTCTACAGAGTCCCCACCAGCAAGAAGGCTCTTACCAGATGCAACCCCTTGACCTTAGACTTCTAAGCCTCCATAACTGTATGAAATAAATTTCCTTTTTAAAACAAATTACCCAGATTCAGATATTCTGTTATAGGCAACAGAAAGCAGACTAATACACCATGTGACTCCACTGAAAGAGAACACTTGGAAGCTGGTGCAGGGTATCCTCCAGACTTCACCCCATGCACCTTTTCCCTTTGCCAATTTTATTCTCCATCCTTTTGCTGTAATAAACTATAACCATGAGGTTAACAATTGGGTCCTGTGAATTCCTCTAGAAAATCTTTGAGCATGAGGTGCTCTTGGGGACCATCCTGACAGAGGAGTTCATCCAGCCCCATAACTTTAAATCCCACTGACAACTCTCAAATGTGTATCTCCAGCCATGATCTATCTAGACTTTTATGAACAATTGCCTACTTGATTCTCCAGCTGATTCTTGACATGTCTAAATTCTTGACATGAAGCAAATTCTTCATTTCTCTCCTTATCCCAGAGTTGCTCAGAAAGTGACCTGTCAGTCATCCAGTTGCCCTGGCAAGAAACCATGGAGATATCCTTGTCTCCTCAC